GGGGGGGGGGGGGGGGGCTCTGCGACAGTCTGACCAACATCACACAGCAGAAGGGATGCTGTACCAGCTTCCATGCAGGAGCCTCAACAGACTGGCAGCCTCCGGTTCCTGTCTTAGAATACCCACTCTACGGGAAGTCGCCCGCCTGTCATGCTATGAAGGCGATAGAGGGAGAGGCTGGCGAGTCCCAGCTGTCCTGGAGGCTGGCGAGTCCCAGCTGTCCTGGCGTTCCGGCCGAAATGCAGTCGTGTGCGTGAAGAAGCCGTCGTGGTGTCCAGCCCAGGTGAGCATTCGGATGACTCCAACCCCAGCTGCCATCTGACAGCGACCACATGAGAGGCCCCAGGCGAGAACTGCCAGCCACTGAGGCTCAGGGTGATTTACTAAGCTGCAGTAGATAATGCAGCTGAAGTGATGGCGATAGGATTGTCACGAAGGTAAATGAGATTGTGGTACGCTAGATCCCCAGCCCACAGCCTGGAATAAATGAAGCCTTCAATAGACATCAATGTCCCTGCCCCTTCCCCTTCCTCTTTGTTAATCCTATGAACTTCCGAGACGGGGTTACTTTCAGTATCATCATCTGAAGGTAGGGTGAGCTGGAGCTGGGCTCTTTGCCAGATGTTTGGAATTTGAACAGCTCCCCTTTCTCCTCTCCATCTTTCTCTTGTTTCTTCTTCTGTGCGCTTTAAAGCACAGACAGATCATCTAGACCTAAAATAAGAATACCAAATTCAGCCTTTGTGTTTCAGACAAAAAAATCATAGGCTTGGTACAGGCTCATGGTAATAAAAATCAAGCCCCAGAAGCATTTTAGAGTCAAAGCAAAATTCTCCTTGGCAACTTCTGTCATGTCTGTATGTGAGTGTGTGTATAAAAAGCTTTAAACAAAAACTTCAGACTTCATAATTATTTCACCATGTAAACATGGCTTTTGGGGGGTGGGGGTTAAAAAGTACATGGTTACCTGTAATTGCAGTCTTGCTACATGTGATTTTACAGCACATCAAAATTAAAATTTGAGTTAAACCATGTAGAAAGACATGGTACCTATTCTAAATGCGTTCCCTCCTTCCTTACTCAAATGGCTGAGTTTATTTCATTCTTGTGATCTCCACAGAAGTCAACCTTTTATTATGTTGGTTGCTAAGGTGACGCATCTTGCCAATCGTGTTGTCCATCCTAGAAAACTTGCTATCAAGGCCGTTTGAGGTGACCTTTCCTCCGCCTTGAATGCCTGAGAACCCACACCAAGATAGGCAAGAGAGTTCACCTCAGTCTGAGTTGGGCCAGCATCCTAAATTCCATCAATTACCTGGTCAATCAACTTGAGGGTGGAAGAGGGACTCAAACTAGATGTCTGACATGTGTAGATAAGAGAACTGGTTTATACTTTTATATATCAACCTTTAATATGGCTGAAGATTCAAAGTTACCATGTGTATCCCCAGGATAAAAGCTTCTGGAACCTTTGGGGGGTCCACAAGGTTAGAAAGGTGGGGGTGGAGGTCGGGGTGGGGGTCGGGGGAGGGGGTGGGATGAAGGTGGTCAGCCTGGGTGTGTGGTGACATTTCGCAGTCAGTTCCGGCTACAGGATATTCAGATGGGGAACCTAGTCTACTGTTGAAGATGTCTTTCTTTCCCTGATGAGGATGCAGGGGGCTGGAGCCTGGGGCATCGTCACTTTACTAACCTGGCCATGCCTCGTGTCCAGGGACAAGTGCGGACCCTCTGGTCTCTGCTTCCGGTGCAGTCGGTTTGCAGACACAGCTGGGCAACTGTTTCTTGCCGTTTCACGGCTCCTGTCGGAGGTGTGACGGTGTGAGGCGCTAGAAAGCTTCTTCTATAATTACTTCTGGATTTGCCTCTGGGAGTGCAAATGCACCGACCTCTGTGTGCTCCCGTGAGCTTGTCGGAGGGTGAGCGATCCGGAGAGTGTGGGTCTACAGACAAACGGGTGACATTATTTTGCCCCCAAATGAAAAGTCACATTGTAGGAGAGTGGTCATGGGGTCTTTGTTACTGATTGCCATTGTAGCCAAATCTATAACCCGAGATGCCACCCCAGGTGCACCAAGTCAGTGCAATCACGCCCCAGAGGCATGAGACAGGCGCGGGGCGGGCAGCAGGGCTGGCCCCCGCCTCCGGGGCGCAGGTTCCCACGGGGCTGGGCCCACAGGTCAGTGGCTGCAGGGAGGGGAGGGGGTGGCTCGCTGGGTGGGCCGGGCCCCGGGGCGGAGGCGGGTGCCCAGGAAGCGCTCTAGGGAGACCCGGACCGGCGCCCAGGGCTGAGCCCCGCTTCCCGGCACCCGAGGCGCCCCCAAACCCTCAGCCACAGCACCTGCCCCGTGCGGGCGCAGCGGGACCCCGGCCGGCGCCCGGCCTGCCCTCCCCGGAGCCCGCCATCGGCTGAGCCCTCGGCTCCAGCCCACACGTGGCCCCACACGCACAGGTGGCCCCCCTCGGGCCCGCCGCCCCATTTTACCCGCTGCTCACGGGGCCCCGCTCCGGCTCCCGGCGCCCCCAGGGGCGCGGCGCCCGCAGCTCGGGCGCCGGGGGCGGGGCCTCGGTCAGGGCGCCCGGGGATTGGCCGCGGGGGGCGGGGGGCGGGGCCGACCGCGGAGTATAACAGCGCGCGCGCAGCCGGGGAGCAGTCCCCGCCGGAGTCTGAAGGCTGCACGAGCCGCGCGCCGTCCGCTCCGCGCTCGCTTTCCGAGGTTTTCAGCTCCCCACCGGCGAAGCCCTCGGCCGGAGCCGGTCCGGTTCCCGGCGCAGCCGAGAGTTCTCCCCGGTTAATTCAAAAACATTGTTTAGCATCTTCTTGCTCTGAAAATGAATACAATAACACCTAAATTTCATAGGAAAACAGTCAACTTAGAATTTGAAATTTATTGGAAGACAAATGTAGAACACCAGAGACTTTTCTTTAGCAAATTTAGGTGGGTAGGGAAAGGTTAGATACCCTGAATTTTCATCATGAAACAATAACTTATAACTGTAGGCATACTTAATTAGATCATTCAACTAAACAATAAGTGTAAAATTTTATTTGATTACAATGGATATAGTAAGATTAAATCATTGTTATGTCATTATAATTAAATAGTAACATGAACAATCAATAATAACGAAATGTGAAGGATGGTCCATTTTCTTTTTCCAATAAAAAGGGAGAATGAATTTTATCTTAGGGAAGAATATATTTTAAAGAATATATTTTTGGCCTTAGATAATGAACGCCCATTCCCGAGTCACAATATCACATGGGAATTAGCCATAATCTAATCCTCGCCATCAAGCACACACCTAAACATTTTAATCCCTCCCCCATGAATACCTTGAAGGACGGAGCTATGGGACTTTGATAAACTCGACGAATCTGACGCGGGGG